ATAAAATAAAATAAAATAAAATAAAATAAAATAAAATAAAATAAAATGAAATGAAATGAAATGAAATGAAATGAAATGAAATGAAATGAAATGAACCTCTAAAATTAAACGTAGAATACGTGGTATTGTTAAGAGCAGCTATTTCATATAGTGCCTTGAACCGAACAAAAAGAGGTAGATAAACTCAGAACTTCATAATAACTACGTATACAAACTAAACTTCAATTTGATAGCATCAAAACCAACAAAGTTGGTGTAAGTCGGCGAGTTCATGTATATGGCGGCCATATTAGCCCTATCACTTTAGATTTTTTTAACGAAAAAATTCCAGGAAGAAATTTTTTGACGCAGTCTCCTGTTTAGGTGAACACAAAATGAAAATTTTTCTCCCAATTGCGATGTGGGAAATGTCCGCCATTTTGGATTTAGTGTTTTTTACGAATTGCGCGCGAACTTTACATTAGATTTTTTCAACGAAAAAATTCCAGGAAGAAATTTTTTGACGCAGTTTGGGGTCTCCTGTTTAGGTGAACACGAAAATAAAATTTTTCCCCCAATTGCTATATGGGAAATGTCCGCCATCTTGGATTTTGTGTTTTTTACGATTTACGCGCTAATTTTGCATTTCTCATGAAAAAAGTTGAGAACCAATTTGTAGAGAATTCGATTCTCTACAATTTTCATGTGCCTTTAATTTTTTTAAACAACTATTTATTGCTAATAATATGCAAAAAATGCACATATTTCAAATAGAAATTGCTGAAAATTCGAAAAGACCACGCCACTTGCCTAATTTTAGGCATTTTTTGCATATTATTAGCAATAAATAGTTGTTTAAAACATCGATAGGACATGAAAATTGTAGAGAATCGAATTCTCAACAAATTTATTAACCTGTTTTTCGCGAGAAATGCAAAAATTCGCGCGCAAATTTAAAAAACATAAAATCCAAGATGGCGGACACTTCCCATATCGCAATTGGGCGAAAAATTTTCATTTTGTGTTCACCTAAACAGGAGACACCTAACTGCGTCAAAAAATTTCTTCCCGGAATTTTTTTTAATCCTACGTCGATTTTGGTCTGAAGTGATCGGGCTATATATTCTATAGTCGCTCGAACCGAACAAAATTGGAACCGAGTTTTGTTACTGCCGGAACCGTTCGGTTCTTTTGGAGTCGGGTCGGACCCGGTTCTCCTGTTCCGGTTCCTCGGTTCTGTGCGTCACTAATTGGTATGCCCTCCACTAATTACACGCTTTTTTTTAAGAAAACCTAGGATTTTAGGAGAATTTATATATACTCACGGAAACGAGAGATAGATGCAAACTACGATCTGTCGAATTTTTAGGCAATCTTGGCCTAGGCAGGAGCAAAAAAGCTCTCGAATTTTATATTCTTTTTAGAGGGAGGATGTATGTCACTCTATCTGTGCTCCAACGAGCCATCCCCTATAGGAAAATACGCAGAACGGCTCGGAGTGCCTTACCATAGATGATGCAGAAGTTGCGAAACTATGAGAAGGAAGAGACAGTTCTCCATCCTCTCTGTAGAGCAGATTGCGCTCTCTGGAGTCTCCCTTATTATTAGCTCCCTTATTATTAGCCTTGACGGATTGGGAGCTATAAACCTCAGATGCCTGAGGAGTTTCGTCAAGGATTAAAAATGATTCAGCAAAGTGACAAAGCTCATGGTATAACAAACGGGACTTCACTTCAACTCGTGGGTTAAGTGTGTCCCTGCGTAGCATTGGCAGCCGTTTTATAGAAGCCGATAAAGCAGTGACAACATCCCCTATTAAAGTCACTACCAACTTCCTTTCTGGGCTAACAACGCCAAAGCACAACAACCGTTAGGTACACTTAGTCTTGCTCCGCACCCATTAAAGCACAGCATCCACTGCGCAACCGCTGAAACTGTCATGCGCTGCCTTGCCTCTCTCGCCACCCTTCCTGCCCACTACAACCAAACAACGACAATACAGCATCCATTCAATGCACGCTTGGTGCTTTTCCATGCATCACAATGCGTTCAGTATCATTCCAGCTGTCAGCGTATAAAAAACCTTTATGAAGAAAACGAAAAGGCGCGCGCGTGTGTTTATGTGTGAAAATAAATAGGCAAGAAAAAAGCTGAAAATCAACAAAAAGAGATAGGTCAAATCGAATTAATTACCAAAAGTTTAAAGAAAAACTTCTTTAAAAGTTAAACAGATAATTTCAAAGTGAACTTGGAGTAGTGCTAGGCTTGGCGTGTATTGCTGCTGGTGTAGAAAGATGCAGCCGTTAGTTTCAGCGCATTGGCGTTGGCGCTTACTCCGCCTGATCCTTTGTCTCGCCGTTACAATGAGCCTGCAATTGCAACACACGCTGGCACTGCCCGACGTCATTAAAATTGGTAAAGAAAAAATTAAAAATAGTCACTTGGCCATCAAGCGCGCTTATGCTACCTACGCCTGCAGTCACAGACAACGCCAAGATGGCCAAGCACTTTGTTTTATTTTCAACCTTCCTCTTATATTTATTGATTTTCTGATTGCATTAACTTATTACTTTAATCTACGTTGATGAGCATAGTATCTGTGCGTATAAGTGAATGGACTTGGATATGCGCAAGACATTGAACGTGCATGACTGTGCACCTGTATGTGTGTGTTTGTGTCTGCATATGTACGGATATTACGATTTTCCTCGCACTCACATATTAGCTTCATGGAAGGAAATTAAAACCACACATTTAACGATTTTGTTTACATTTCATGTTTCTCATTTTTTCTTGTTTCTTTTTTGTTTTATTTTTATTTTGATGTTTCATGCTACAATCACAACCACACACACACACATATATATGCATATTTTAGCCCATTATACCACATTATCCTGTTCACCGTTCAACTCTGCATATCTGTATGCGTTTGCTCTGCAGGTGGCCTTTTTCACCCGAGTGACGATACCCAGGAGCTAGCGTTTCGCCAGGCCGTCGAGCACATAAACTCTGATCGATTAATATTACCGCGTTCTAAGTTGGTGGCGCAAATTGAGCGTATCTCACCGTTTGACAGTTTCCACGCAGGCAAAAGGGGTGAGTATTTGCCTACTCTTAAGATTATGCGATTTTATTTATAAACACAGCAAGTAAGTGGGCACTTATCAGGATGCGGCAACAGCTATTTATAATCCATGACAGCAATTCGATGTGATTATTATACATATTACTGCTGTATAGAGGGAGGGCTAAATGTGCGGCACTTAGGGATAACGACCCTGCAGTGAAACCCCAAACTGGTCAGGAAAAATACTAGTTTACAACTAGAATTTCCTGACTGAAACCGAACTATTTCGAAAATGACCAGATTTGTACCAAGTACAGTACGATTTTATCATGCTCTGTTTTATTTGACTTTGACAGTTTGATAGAATAAAGTACACAAAATACTATAACGTTTATTTTGTTATATTGTAAACCATTAAAGCGAGTACGTATTCAATTATACCAGACCTGTTAAATAATGATTAATATTCATAATGATTATTAACTAAAGCATGTTTTTTTTTGGATAATTTAATGGCTAAATACCGCTAATGGCTAAATATTACCACCCTTTTAATGATTAATAATTAATTACTTAAAAATAATGTAATTAAATCACTGATTTTAATTACATAATTTTTTCATTAATTTTGGAATTTTTTAATTACACGATTAATATGATTACTTGATTAATTTCTATTATGAATCAACGAGCCAAACTACAGACCAAAATTAAGAATACATATTTAATAAATGCTTGAATTATTTATTTATTTTATTCTTATCGAAATTTCAAATTTTAAACATTAATTATTACTTTTATAAAATTTAAAAAGTAATAGACTGAAATGTGCAAGTTATTCAATTTATTTTAATGAAAACTTTTATTTTTATTTTAGTTCACTCAAAAATTAACTAAAGTATTCATTTTGTTTTTAACTAAAATCTTTTCTTTTGCATATTCATATAAAAATATATTATTTATTGTACCGCAAATCTTGTACTTTTAATAACATGAAAAATGCATTTAAATTTATGTTCGAAAGTTTGAAATATTTATGTATTTATCTTTGCTTTTAATAAATGCTCAAAAATTTAACACTACTTACACTGGATTACAAATTTTAATTTGGTTTTTGTTCTCCAGACGCCGCTATCCAATTTCTATGTAGAATTACTCGTTGATTCCGAAATTCGGGTTAACTTTTTTTTTTTATATGGATACGGCTTAAAGCAAAAATTGGTACGGCAAATGAAAGCCAATGAAATTCTCCATAAACCCTCACTTTCCGATAGGATAGGATAGGATATAGTTTTTGCCAAATTAATTAATCATTCCAGCTTTTTTTTTATTTTTTAATATAAAAATGAAAAAAAAATCAAACTTTAACAGAAGATAAATTTAAAAAATAACAGCTTACAAAACAAAATCAAGTTACTGATGAAGAAAATTGATGGGTAAATAAGAAATAATGAGGGGTCAAGTGAAAATGCACAAAGATTTTTTGTATGAAATATAAGCAGAAAAGGGCAGCAGTGTACGCGGCGTATGAGTAACATTCTTTCGTGCTCAATTTTCATACAAATAATCTTGCGCATTTTTATTTGACCACTCATTATTTCGACACAGGTGAAAAAATTTGGCACAGAACCTGTTTTTAAATTTTTCTTCTTTTAAAGCTTGATTTTTTTCGTTTTTTCATTAAAAAATAAAAAAAGCTGGAATGATGAATTAATTTTTCAGAAACTATAAGCCCTATCGGAAAGTGATGTATACACGGTTTATTCATTAGCTTTCATTTGGCGTATTTTATATTAAGAGTTTTAAATTGGTTCGGAAGATATACGTGATTAGAAGGAACCAGGGACCGCAAATAACGTTTAGCCTTTGAAATTTCAACTCAAAAAATCACGCGGAAAGAGAAAGGCTACGTACATAAGGAGTAAACCAATATATTTCTTATTACTGGGAGTACCTTCAGCGGCACTGATTTTTATTTTTTAATTTTTACTTATAAAAATCAAGTTTAATCATTATATTTTGAGTTTTATTTTTTACTCAGAAAATAATCGTTATGTTTTGAGTTTTATTTTTTGCTCGGAAAATAATCGTTACATTTAAGTTTTATTTTTTGCTCGGAAAATAATGGTTACGTTTTAAGTTTTATTTTTTGCTCGGAAAATAATCGTTACGTTTTAAGTTTAATTTTTTGCTCGGAAAATAATCGTTATTTCTTGAGTTTTATTTTTTGCTCAGAAACCATTATACCATTATTTCCCGAGCAAAAAATAAAACTTAAAACGTAACCATTATTTTCCGAGCAAAAAATAAAACTTAAAACGTAACCATCATTTTCCGTGCAAAAAATAAAACTTAAAACGTAACGATTATTTTCCGAGCAAAAAATAAAACTCAGTTAATAACGATTAAAAAGTGATTTTTAAAATAAAACTTATAACCGTTACGGTCCCTGGAAGGAACCCATTTTTTTGCTTTAAGCTGAATAATGGTTAATTGCAAATATCTCGAAAACGTATCCAGAGAAAAAAAATTAACTCGATTTTCGGAATCACCGAGCAATTCTACATAGGAATTGGATAGTGGCATCCACAGAACATTTTTGCTGTAAACCAGTGTTATTGTCAAATCTAAGGCTGCTAAGTAATACTTAATCTTGTACTTAATCAAACATTTTTTATTGTATATTCATGAATTCATTTTATTTTTTGACCCCCAAAGTAGTTGTTTTGGGTCATAACTAGACTAGTATTTTTCTGTAAACTTTGAACTAGTATGAGACTAGTATATTTCTGACCGAAATCTGACAATCGCCATCTCGTAGGAAATCCCCATGTTAAAAATACCAGTTTATTGCATGGAAAGGCGGACTAGTTGGGCATGCGGTTCATACCAGTTGTGAGGTAGTTTACAACTAGTGCATTTGACCACAGCGGAAAAGCTTACAAAATCATGTAAGTTTGAAAATGTTCTTAGTATTGGAACTGCATTAAATTTGTGTCAGAGTCTCCTTACTAGATGGAGGAGCTTCTTCTTCGTGGAGGGCTCGTACTCCACCTATCCGCGAAGTCTTAACTCGTCGTATACCGTTTTTTTTTTTGTCGTATTTAAAAACACAAACCAACGGGCGCAAAAAAACACAACCCAGGCTACATTGTACTGCTTTTCATGTTGCTCTTAATCTGTTTTAAATCTACTTGATTTACGAATAGTCTAAGAGTTCAATTGTTCGCCTCTTGCTGCCAAAAACCTCATGCCTAATCCTTGCAAAGGCGGGGCAGAAACACAAAAAGTGTTCCGCCGTCTCAACTTCTTCAAGGCATGAAGAGAAAATGGGATTGTCATACAGTTATGCCGATCGCAGTCAAGTGTTTGTGGCCCGTAAACTGCGCAGTCAACAGTCCCACAAGTTATCTGCGGCCCAATCTATTCTATGAAAACAAGTATCCAGCAAGACGCTCCGAATTCAAGGACAATATGCAAGTTTCGCGCACCTGCATCCTCGGGCAGCCTCCTAGTGATATTAACCCTGTTTGTGACGGTGGCTGTATGTGGGAGTGCTATAACTGTTTGCGGACTGACAAATCCCTGGTCTGAGTCCTCTCTGACCAAATGGTCAGATGCCTCATTACCAGGTGCTTCTGACTACCTGGTACCCAGACCAGGACTTGACCGTTATATTTCTCAACGTAGTTTAGTCGATACTTGCCGAATCTGTATGGATGTAATTTGAGGGATTACCAATGCCTTGAGTACATCTGGCTGTCACTACTATTTTTCAAAACGTAGTCAATCGTTTTCACTATTGCCAATATTCGGCTATCCAAGAGAAAAGTGAAGCTCATACCCATTAACTGTGATACATATAGACTGATCCTGACCCAATGTTAATTTTTCAGCCATCAGTAAAGATTCGTCAGTGTTGGAATTAAGCCAGCATTCAGCTTCAGGGAGCTAAACCTTATGTAATCCCCTCAGGAAAGACTATGATGGGCATTGAAAAGACACTTGTGTGTAGATCCTGCAATCCTCACCTTACCCCACTCAGTATCAGGCCAACATCCAATTCTGAAAGGCGGCCCTTAAGTTCTCCCTACGTATAAAGGTGGAAAGTTATGGCAGAGCTCAAGAGCAGTACTTGAATACTCCCATCTTGGACGAGCTTATTTTATTTAAAATTCCCCCTTCAGGTCAGCGTTGGTCATCCAATGTGCATGGTCAGCTTAAAACCTTGGATTGAAGGAAGCTTCCGAATCACCATTAAGAAGCATTGCGATAGGCCATGCTACTGAGAAGCAGCAAGCTGCAATTCGGACATCGCACAAAATATACTGGTAAAATATACCAGTAAGCACTTTCCAAAAAAGGTGTATTGTTGAAAATTGCACATGGATGCACATAGATAGTTCAAGTATGTAGATATATTTGAAGAGACCATCTTCTTTCTAGGAGACAAGCCCAAGCACAGTTTGTAAATTTTTTAAAGTGCAAACCTTCGCATTAATTTATTGTAAGCACTTGCTTCTTTTGATAAAGTAAAAGATTCCAAAGGGCCATAGAAAACTACCTGTAATAGTTTCCATCAAATCAGGGTCAAATATCTGCAAGATAAACATGGAGAACGCCGGACAAGTATCTTGCAGTGTCTTCATTTTCTGGCTAAGACGGAATAACTCTATCGGCGGAGAAGCCGAGCTTAAGCCGGTATAACTGTTGTAATTGTGAACGAGACGTAATGTGGTGAACGTTTTAAAAGTCACTAAATTAAGTATGTATGTTTCGCACTGTAGATGTAAAAAACTGCAGCTAACTTTATGTTTGTTAAACAAAGCAGGGACATAACAGTTATAAGTTTTTTCGAAAAAACGTTGTTCCATAACAGTTATTAGATGAGAAAAATGTTTTATTTTGACGATAAGAGTTATACCCAACGTTTACTTTTTAGGTTGCCTGATAACTGTTATGCAGGAGAAATAAGATAAGATAATAAGAGTTATTTCCCAACGTTTATTTTTTAGGTTGCTTGATAACAGTTATTACCCAAGGTTTATTTTTACGTTGTCTGATAACAGTTATTTCACTCCTCCTCTTCTATTTTCATCATCTTTATCTTATTCTCCAACTCCGTTTTTTTCAAAAAACATAAAAATATTTTTCATCTAATGACTTTTATGAAACAAGGTTTTCGTTAAATTTTAGAATTTGGGCAAGATTTTCAATGAGTAAATTCGAGATAACTTTTTGGCCCCTGAAATAAAGTATCTCTCTCTCTCTCTCTCTCTTCTTTTGGATAAAAAACTCGGAATAGACGTGCTTTTATTTCTCGGTTCCACTCGTTTTCAACGCTAATCAATAACGTATTCGATTTCTTATGCGCGGGCGATTCTTGACGCAATAGTCTTAATATGATATTACCATGTCAGATGGTGAGCCCGCATTTACGTCCTATTTTACAGGATCAAAGGAGATCTCCATTATAGCTGCGGCAGTCGTTCATACATAACCTCCGATGAAAGCGTATACGCTAAGTTGAGAAAGCATATCCCGCTAAACCTGGTGCCAACTGCGGGATTACCCTTCTTGACGATTTGGCAAAATTCCCTTAGTTGCTAATATTCAGGGCATATATTCATCAAGCCAAATTCCTAAGTATTGGCGCACATCATTTCAGAGAGTTTATTCTGAACCTGTTTTTATTTTTACACATTGTAAAATTTGCATCATCTCCAAATTTCTGGAAATAAGAAAATAAAAACAATAGCGCCATGCTTTATGCTGTCTGGTGGTAGGAAAGATAATCGGTTTAAAAAATGTTCACCTTTCACACTACCAACTCAATCACAGCGTGAACTGGTTTGTTCGCGACAAAGCTCAGTTGGCGAACACGAATATCTGCCGTTTTTTCTCCACGAAAAAACAAAAGACAACAGTAGACGTATAATTGAAAATAAGAATAAGAATAGCAACAATACTTAATAGTCCCTGTTGGATGTAAGCCGAAGATGGAATCTACTCAGACAGCAGAGCTAAAGCAAAGTAAGTCAATAAAATGGCAAAGCAAATTTTTGTGTTTGCGTAGCGCATTTGCCATACTATTTAGCTATGGAAACGGCACGTAAAGAAAAGTACAAAGCGCATAATGTTGGGATCAGAGGGAAATGGCACAAGAGAGCTGTTAAACTCGTATACCACGCCATTAAAGCAAACGAATAACGGTTATTATCAACAGTTTTGCCGCCATTTTTCAGCCCACTTTTTTCGTTCTTTTATTTATTTGTGTACATACGTATGTATGTATACTAGGGCGGGCCAGTTTGTATGGGCGATTTTTTCGACTATGCGCTTATAGCACAAAAGGATTCTACGCGTAATTCTAAGCAAATTTTCATCTCGAGTAGACAAGTGGGAGTGGCACCTGCCATACAAAGAGAATTTTTCATACTGCATACCTATGGAAGTATTTGTGATAGCGTACTGGTGAGAAGATAATGAAAGAGTTTAAAGAAGTTTGTATGTAGTTTGAAATTATTTTGAAGAGGGTTGCCACCTGTTGAGAAAGTTCAATTAAAATTATTTTATTTTTTAATAAGTTAAATAAGTTATTAAAATATAGGCATCTATCGAAATAGTTTTAAAAACTTGTATTTCTTAACTACACGACGGAGTGTTGCCACAGGCTTGAGAAATTAAATTCAACTTGAGTTAAGAGAATTAGGTAGATAATTAAAATGCTGTAAACAATGTGGGTATTAAATGAAAGAGAAGATTTTAGTTTTAAAATATTTTTTAGGGGGCTTAAAAAATATCAAAATCTCTTTTATGCTGAGTGCATATATGCTAAGTTAAATTAAAATAAATTACACCTAACTATTGTAACACGAAGAAATTTCATACACTCAACGAAGCGGGTGAGGTCAAATTAGTTTTATACAAAACATGCTAAAAGGGGTTTTCTAACTAGTATGATGAATCCATTTCTGCACTAATCTTTTTCTTAAAACTTTCACCAGAGGGCACAACAGTGAAAATTTTAACATTTTGTTCGTAGCATACTCGAGAACAGTTGACCCGCCCTAATGTCCACAAACATTGTTTTAAATATATGTGTATTTAAATCTGCTTTATCATCTGCACACTGAGTATACTAACTTGTTTTGGACTTTTGTTTGCTTACCCATTCGCTACAGTTTGCGGCTTGTTGAATATTGGCGTAGCAGCTATATTCGGGCCACAATCTTCAAACACCGCCAGCCATGTCCAAAGTATCTGCGACAATATGGAGGTATACAAACTTATGTATAAGGATTAATATTTAGAGTAACTACTATTGCACACACAAGTATTACGCGCTAGCATTGTTACACTCACTCAATAACATTAATGCACAGACACACCTGCAATTTCGTCAGATTTGCTTGCATCATGGCAGCATTTCCGTAGTTTTTAAATATAATTTTTTTGCTGCTGTAGATACCTCATTTGGAGAATCGCTGGGATTACCGTTTGCGACGTGAAAGCTGTCTGGTGAACTTATATCCACATCCAAATACACTTGCTAAGGTACGTACATTTATGTGCATACGGACATATGTAGATGCATTCACCACATATTGGGCTATGTTTAAACCACTTGAAATCATTTTGTAAGCTTAACTTGCCATTAATCGGCTTCGCTGTACATTGTTTTAACTTTTGCCACACAGGCTTACGTGGATATCGTCAAGTATTGGGAATGGAAAACATTCACGATTATATACGAGAACAATGATGGCATTGTACGGTTACAGGAGTTACTCAAGGCGCATGATAACTCACCGTATCCGATTACAGTGCGGCAATTGAGTTATTCAGGGGATTACAGGTAAGTGAATTCTTTTTTGTTTTACTTTGCTTTACGCAGGTATGTGTAGCTGAATCTTTTCCCCAGCCAGCAGAGAAACGTTTTTTTTTGGCGAGAGTGCAGTTTTCGTACATTTTCGTACGTTCGGAAAACATTTCCATATTTGTTAATTTTTCGTATCCGAAAAATGTCATCGTCTTATTTCAAAATAATAATTTTAAAATATTTGTTCAAACTGAGCATTTGAAAACACGTATTCGTCAGTAGCTGAGTGTGCAGAGAAGTGCGCAGCTATTTGTTAGCTTCCAGGAGGTCCCAGGTTCGAATTCCGTCAGAAGCAACACATTAAAATTATTTTTTCAAATTGAAATAATTGCTGAATCTTAAAGTTGTTTTTGTTTGGTTTCCAGTAACTATGAGAAAGTGTCTGTGAAGTTCATAATAAAATCGTTTTCAACGAAAAATTTAATCAGACAAATTTCAGGAAAATAGCCAAAGCGCATCCGTTTTACAACCATTTTCGATAGTTTTCTGCACATACGATTCGGCTGAACACTTTAGTGGGAGAATTGATCTGAAAAACGTCCGAAAACGGAATCGGAAAACGGATGAA